TTATTTTTATTTTTCGTATATTTCAGTTGCCAAAATATCTACGTGCCATGAAATTCAAGACTACATATAAGGCAAAAAGAGGACTAAATGTAAGTAGTTCCAAATATGCTACTAAATAGTTCCATGAAAAATATACAAACAGCAAGTATTTCATATAAATATAATTGTTCATATACCAAATAAAAGTTCTTTTTATATGATAAAAATGTATATAAGATTTTTTTTTAAAGTCTGTTTTTAACTAACTAGCAAACAAGAAAAAGTTGTCTACAAAATTTCTCAAATAAAACTTTTTAAAAGTTTTTCTTTAGAGAAATAAATAGGACAATATATAAATAGAAGTTACCTAGCAACGTAGAGCATTCACATGTCGCACAGCCCTTGTTAATTTGCACCATTTAGTTTTTGGATAGCTGTTCTCTCTGGTATTTCTGTATGGCCGAAATGTGTGTTTGATGGTGTTGTGGCTTTTGATTTTCATTGGCTACCATAAATAAATTGCAGCCTAGAAAATTTGGTGCTTGTGGAAATTTTTAGTGCATACTTTGAGGCGCTTAGTGAGCAATCAAACAATTTTATGGCCCATATACAGTCGAGCTGGCCAAAAAGCATTTGCTGCCAAATACTGTATATGCAAAATTGGGCAGCAATGCTCTAAATTAACGGCAAGGCAAGGCAAGGGCGGCACGCCCCCAATTAGGGATTGACCAAGTCAATGACAAAACTTTTTGGCAAGCAATAAAAATCAACATTATTATGTTAATTGGTTGGGCATGAAGATAAATGCAAGAGGAGCAGAGGCAGGAGCAGAGGCAGGAGCAGTAACAGTAACAGTAGCAGGAGAAGGAGCAGGCAAAGCAGGTTAAGGTGGCGCCCTCTGGCGTCCGAGGTGCGCGCAGCTGCTTCAGAGATTTTAATCACTAAATTAGTTTACCAAAAACAAGGCAAAATGTGAGCGGAAAAATCGCCTAAAAGCATATGGCCTTTATTTGTCTAACGGTTTCGCTTTTCACCCACCCAAAAAGAAATATGGAAAAAAAAGAAGAACGAAACAAAACGAAGGAAAATGAAACAAAAAGGTGCACAAAGCTTTTGTTAACTGCGTAAAGTTTGCGCCCCTCCAGCCAAGCGCTCGCCTTCAAAAAATAATAAGTAAACATTATTTATTTTAAAAGAAGAAAAGCCGTTGCATAGCTTCCGGCATGCCACAGCGCGCTGTAAGAGTCGAAAGGCAGTCGTGGCGAGGGGCGTGGCAGCCAGGTAGCTAGGGAGTCTGGGCGGGCCGAAACGTCAAAGTAATTAAACAAAAGTAATTAAGATTAGCGCGCTTGGAGTAGCTACAAGTCATCAAGAAGGCAACTGGTCCGCGGACTCGTCCATTATCATCATTATCATTTTCGTTTTCATAGTGGCGAGCGGCGTGAGCGAGAAAAAGGTAACGGTAACTGGACCGGCACGGGCGAGCCAACGCCAACAATATGAGTAAAAGTGCTGCCAAGTTTGACGTCATTATAGCTGGCATATAGCTGCAAGTCAAATACACTTAGCCCCTCGTTACGGTGGCCGCGGCTGCATGGATACCCTGTAATTACGGGAAAATGTGTGAAATGGGGATATGAACAGTTAGGCAAGGTTAAGATGCCACATTTGCATTATATCTGATCTAATGATGGTCACATTTGAAGGTTTATTTCCTCCAATCGACAAATTCGATTTTTTATATAAATAATTATATAAATAACTTGAAGGCTTATTTGCTCCAATCGATAAATATCGGTTACATAGGTGATACGTATTTGACTTGTTCAATTTCATATATAATAAACATGTTAAGTGTTTTTTTTTCATAGTCAAAAAAAGAAAACGGATATATGCTAATTATAAAGAAATATGGCTAGCATATTTTGGCTCTAGTCTTACTTGTTTTGAATCACCCTATTTCCGAATCTCTTTAACTCTGCATTGGCACCTAAGACGCCAGCTCTCTGACTCTAGCTCTCTAATTCTATAGCTTATCATCTATTATACTCTCTGACTAAATGGTCCTTTA